TTAGTCAGATAGAGACTGGTAGGACACCCACACACACACACACACACACACACATACATACACACAACTATGACCCTTAGTTACCCTTCAGTCTGGAACTGAACCCACCCCTAAAAAGAAAAGAAAACTCACTGCCCTGGAGTCGGCAATGACCTCCAGTGACCTTATAGGACAGAGTCGATCTGCCCCCGTGGATTTCCAAGACTGAAATTCTTTACAGGGATAGAAAGTCCCGTCTTTCGAATTGATGACCTTGCCCCTCTGTTAGAATAATCACTCACTTAAGATTAAAAGGGCAGCGTTTGCCCCCAGGCCATAGGACTAGGGAAGAAGGAGGGATGGAAATAGGAAACACAGGAATTGTGCCAAGGGATAGTTAGTACACTGGGTGAGTCTAAATAAAATGTCTGTGTGCACAATTGTCTGTAAAACTGATGGTCTGCGCTGCAAAACCTTCACCTCAACCACAATAAAAAATATTTTTAAAGAGAGATGATGGAGATGCTAAATATCATCAACCAGACAAGGGCCCAGAGTTAACTGCAGAAGGGACCATCAATTGCTCACCTGCAAGTTCAGATTGAAGTTGAAGGAAACTTCAAACAAATCCATGAGAGGCAAACTATGACCTTACGTACATCCCCATCTGGATTGAGAGACCATCTCAAGAATGGATGTGATGCACTAAACACTAATCCCAAAGACCAGATGAGTTCTGGCATGACCTCAAGAGCATCATACATGAAAAAAGTAAAAGGTCATTAAAAAAAAAAAAGGAAAGATCAAAATGGATGTCCAAAGAGACCCTGAAACTTGCTTGCTCTTGAACATAAAGTAGCTAAAGCAAATGGGAGACATTATGACGTTAGAGCACCGCACAGAAAACTCCAGAAGGCAGTCCAGAAGACCAGGTAAAATGTATACTGAAATGTGCCAAGACCTGGAGTCAGAAAACCCAAAGGGAAGAACGCATTCTGCACTTCTCCAGCTGGAAGAACGGGGAACATTCAAGCCTCCGTTGTAATATTAAAGGATTCTCTGGGCAAAATGTTGAATGATGCTGGAAGCCTAAAAAGACAATGGGAAGAATACTCACTGTACTAAAGAGAATTGGTCCAGGTTCCTTTTGTTCCAAGAGGTCATGTATGATCGAGAACTGATGGTATCTAAGGAAGAAGTCCAACCTACACGAAAGGCATCAGCAGAAACCAAGGCCCTAG